GCACAAAAAAGCTGGAGATATATGGATGTTTATAGAAAGGGAATTTCAGGAAGATTAGCTGAGTTTGCAGTGAAAAAGTATAGATCATCACAGGAGAGTTCCTGATTCTGTGTATGATGAAATTAAATTTAACTATACTTTTATTTTAATCTAATTTCTTGTTTGTTTTTTATCTTAAATAAATCTTTTGAAACTTTTATTATTTTCCAAATTAAGAAAGATCTTTGACTAAAAATGAGACTAAATTTTTTTTATGTTATAAATCAATTCCTTTTTTAAAGCTGAGTTGAATGTAGGGATGGGAATGGTTTGCTTCAGTTTATAAACTGCCAGTTTGGCTAGTGAACTGCACCGGCTGGCAGTTTACCACCACAGTTTGAACTGCAGTTCAAACCCAAGCTTAACTGCAGTTTTATAATTTTATTGGTGATCTATTTTTATAAAAATGAAAAATTTGTTCCAACAATTAAGGCTATTTTAAACACCACTACTATCTATTCTCTTCATATTTGCTTGTACTTTAAATTGTTTGCATCAAATAGCTGGAGTTCCACCTAATCTCTATATCAAGTTGTAGCACAATAATTCAATTAATTGTGATTGAAATATCTGTTAAAATCCTCCATAAGATTATAGAATTACGACCTCCTTCATAAATTATGCACTTTAGTGACTGTCTCATCATGAACTTGCAATCCATACCATACAGCAATATTGAATATGTGGGAACCACAATGGTATAACCATTATTATTATTTGTAAAAACATTCATTTCTTATTTCCCCTTCAAATTATTTGAAAGTCACTCAAATTAGCCAATTGGAATATTGTAACCCACCCCATAATTTTAATTAATTTTCATGCACAACATTACCAATTGCTGCTGCACTATCAGTTGTTATGCTCAATATTTTTGATGATAAATTTAATTCTTCTAAAAGACTTTTTATTGCATGTACTATATTTACAGCATTACAAGTAAGATTCATGGAATATTAAAAATTCATAATTTTCTTTTATGAACAATAAAAAAAATAAACATAGTTAAATTTTATTGTCAGATCCAATTCAAAATTTAGGACCACAGGATCAGTGTTAAAATTCAATGTCCGCAATGCCCGGGTGTAACATCATCAGTGTTGGAAATTCAGGGTGCGCGCGCAGCATGTTACACCAAAATTGTGAAACATTTTATGTGCAAATTATAATACGTAGTACCAAATAA